TCACTGCAGGGGCAGGGAATGCTCAGTAATACTGCAGGACAGGGAAAGCTCAGGAATGCTCAGGAATACTCACTGCAGGGGCAGGGAATGCTCAGCAATACTCAGGAATACTCACTGCAGGGGCAGGGAAAGCTTAGGAATACTCAGGAATACTCACTGCAGGACAGGGAATGCTCAGCAATACTCAGTAATACTCACTGCAGGACAGGGAAAGCTCAGCAATACTCACTGCAGGGGCAGGGAATGCTCAGCAATACTCAGGAATACTCACTGCAGGACAGGGAAAGCTCAGGAATGCTCAGCAATACTCACTGCAGGACAGGGAAAGCTCAGGAATGCTCAGCAATACTCACTGCAGGACAGGGAATGCTCAGCAATACTCACTGCAGGGGCAGCAGGGCCGGCACCGTCCCCTCCTTCCATCCTCCCTTCAGACAAGGACCCGGCTGCTGTGGCTCTGCCTGCTGCCCACGCTCAGGCTGGGCATGGTCCCGGCTCCAGGCACACCGGGGGAACCTGGCCGTGCCTCCGGGGGCCATAAATACCTGAGCCCATAAATACCTGTCCCTGGCAGCCCGGGGGCTCTGTGGGACCCGAAACCTGAGTGGGGAGCGGGAGCTGAGCGCTGCTGTCAGTGCCGGGCGCGGCTCTTCCTGCCCAGGTGGGAGCCACAATGGGGGCCTTTGTGTGCCCAGGGGCTGGCACGGCCCTGCACGGCCCAGCTGAGGCTCCTGGAAAGATCAAATGGCCAGAGGACAGTGGCAGCCTGCCCGTGTGGCAGCAGCAATTGCCACATGTCAACGGGAGCTCCTGGGCTGGAGCCAGGTGCTGATCCTGCTGTCCCTGCAGGGCTGCACAGACACACGGACACACCTGTGCCACCCTGCAGGGAAAGGGAAAAGGGCTGTGCCACCAAGTCACTGCCACAGCCTGCGCTGCTCTCACACTGTCACCTGTGTCCTGAGAACCTCCCTGTGGGAGCAGCATTCCCTGAGCACCCTGATCTGAGCAGTCCAGGAGCCCCCAGAACGTTCCAGACCCGCCAGCCAGACACAACCAAGGTGTGGAGGCAAGGAAAAGCCAAGAATTCCTTCATGTCATGCCTACCCAGGGAAAATGCACAGGAAAATGTGCATTTTCCTGTCATGCACAGCCCAGGGCTGAACAAACTGGGTGAAGGGAGCCCACAAGAAAGGAGAAAAGGGACTTTGGCCAAGGGCATGGGCAGGGCAAAGGGGAATGGCAGAGGGTGAGATGAGGTGTTGGAAAGAAATTCTTCCCTGTGAGGGTGGGCAGGCCCTGGCACAGGTGCCCAGAGCAGCTGTGGCTGCCATGGATCCCTGGCAGTGCCCAGGCCAGGCTGGAGTACCTGGCACAGTGAAGGTGTCCCTGCCATGGCAGGGGTGGCACTGGGTGGGCTTTGAGGTCCCTTCCACCCCAAACCCTGACCCCCAGGATTCCCAGTGCTCAGGACACCAGAACACACGGTGAGACAATGCTGGGGAGAGCAGGTTTGAGAGTTTAATGGGAATTCAAGTAGAGGATTAGGAACAGTTTGGAAGCCAGAACAGAGATTTGAAGCACGATTGACAGCGCCAGCAGCACATTCCAGCACCCCTGAGCCCAGGCAGGGACAGAGCTGCCTGAGGGATGCTGGGCTCTCTCCTGGCCTTTTCCTGACACAAAAAGCACCAGAAACAGAGACTGAATCCAAACCCACACTGTTACATCAGACACGACCTGCAGTGAGTCCACAATGTCCATCTCCACATTACCCAGACCAGGGGTAAGTTCTGCCTCCGGGACTTTGCAGGAGAGATTTTCCACACTTCCTTCCACAACTCCACATAACAAACAACAGCCTTGCAGAGGTTCAGCCAGTGCTCTGGGAACACTGAGAGCCTCTGCACTGCAGGGTTATTGCTGTGCAAAGAAGGTGACAAGTTACCAGGCAGGAAATCAGCACTGCCCGAGCTCCTCAGCTGGACAGGAAGGAAAACCAGTGCTTAAATTGAACTGTAGGTACTGGAATCTATGCAATAAAAGCGAGTTATTTGCATATATAATTTTCAATTATTTCTGTAATGCAAAAGCTTTCACTGTGGGATTCAGGCAGCACAAAAACCACCCTGTGGTGAGCCCCTCATTGCCCAATCCCACCTGGAGATCAAAGAGAATCATCCCTGAGCAAGCCAGCACTCCTCACCACCCAGCGTGCACACACCGAAGATCTGAACCTCAGGGATGGAAGGAAGCACGAGCTGCTGTCACACACACCCGGGGCCACAGGGCTCCCTGGGGACAGCTGTCCTGGGCACTACACCCATCCACGGACTGAGCAGGAACTGGGATTGTGCACTAAAGCCAAGGCAAGCGGCTCAGTGATGCTGAGGGAAGTGCAGGAGCTCGGCACACATTGATCCTGGGATTTCTGGGAAGCTGCAGGAATGAGGGACAGTCCTGTGTGGCTGCAGACTCTCTGCATTACCAAATACAACCGTTCAGGAGAATTAAATCAGTGCTAAGTACATTCCTCTCATCCTCCCTCCTGGGAAACAAGATATATTATCATAGACTCTATTTATAATTTAAATATATTCTAACTTTATGCTCAGGGAGTGGCAGTGTGTACAAGTGCTTTACACACTCTCGACCTTGGACAGACACTGTGCAGCAGACAAGGTCTGGAATTGTGTGGGATCATCCCAATCTGCATCACAAGTGCAATGTGCAGTGAAATGAAAGAGATGAATTTGTGTGACCTGACGTGGGGCTGTGCCCCTCAACAGGGGCCCAGCTGGGAAAAAGAGTCACCCCAAGGGCACACGCCAGCTCCACCAGTGCTTCCAAGCACAACCAGAGTTACTGCACATCCCAAGAGTCGTTTCCCTGAACAGACCGGGCTGAGCCATGGCCCAGCCTGGCCAGGACATGATCCTTCCCCTCAGATCACCCAGCTCCAGCCCAGCCCAGAGGAGCTGTGCCGTGGATCCAGCACTGGATCGATGCACGATAACCAAACCCAGCCCCAAGCCCAGCCCCTGTAACGCCCCCTTTGTTCAAAGTGCATTTCAGACGGAGATGTAAACAGAATCATACCGAGAGGACAGAGAGGAGACAAGCGAAGGGTTCTACCCTGGGGAGTACCTAGTGAGTGCGTGGGTTACTGCCAGGGGCTGCTGCAGGGCTGCCCCGAGCCCCTCACTGCCCCAGGGCCG